AATGAATGAGGCACCTAATATTGAGTGCATCTTTGTGTGTGTGTGTGTGTGTGTGTGTGTGTGTGTGTGTGTGTGTGTGTGTATGTGTGTGTTTCAAACCAGGGCCTTGCACATTGCCAACTGCTCTGTTTGAGCTACACCCTCAGCCCTTCTCTTTTTTTTTTTTTTGTTTGTTTGTTTGTTTTTGACACAAGGTCTTACTGATACCTTTGCCACATCTAGCCTAGAACTTGCAGTCATGCTGCCTTCTTCCTCTGAAGTAGCTGAGATTACAGGCATGCATTATCATGCCTACCACAAGTTTATCCTTATTTTATTAATGTCACTGGTAAACTCTCAGTTGGACTTATTGAACTTATTTAACTATCAGATCATTGTCCAGTGTTTTTGCCTGAAGAATTTTTAAGCGAGTATACAGTCATAAATAAGCTGGGGAGTGCCTGGAAGAATAAAAGTTAGGAATGTTAGTAATAGGCGGGGTGTGGTGGCACACCTGTAATTCCAGCTACTCAGGAGGCAGAGATAGGAGGATCATAAGTTCAAGGCCAGCCTGTGCAAAGTTAGTCCTTATCTCAACCAACAAAATGCAAAATGAAAGAGCTGGGGTGTGGCTCAAGTGGTAGAGCACTTGCCTGGCAGCATGCATGAGGCCTTGTGTTCAGTTCCCCAGTACTTGGAAGGTGGGGAAAAGTGTTACTAAGAGAAATGTGTCTCCAAAGCCATGTAAAAAATTCCAAATTGTACATCTCTTGTATGATAAAAGACACTCTTACATATTTAAAATTTGTATTTTAAAAACCACTTAAATAATAGTTGGGTGTGTTTAAAGCTTCTGTTTTTTGTTACTTGAGTCTTTGTTGGTTGGGCACTTCTTTACCATTTTCTGCAAGAGCTTGTGTGCTTTTATTTTTTTTATTGCCTTCTTTTTTGCTTAAGTACCACATCATTCTGGTCCAGTTGGTAGTATCTCTTCCTGTTTATAAGACATTCTTTGAATTTTGACCTGTTTGCGTGCATATAAACATGTCTGTAAATGAAGTGTTCCTCACAGGTGTTCTATATTGCCAAATGTGAATTTGCAGAGATCATATGTGGTAGAAGCATTGTTCATTACTAGTATTACATGGCTCATTTGTGTTACTCAATACTGCTAACCATTTCAGAGTTTAGGAGTACAGTTCAGGCAAAATAAGAGAAAGAAGGTATCTTTTAAAACCAGGCAATGCTGAATCTTGGAAGAGTCACACTTCACATGGATAAAACTTTCTTCTTCCACACTTTTTTATTTCCTTCAATGGTGCTTCTAAGCATTCCAGTTTGGTTTGCTTAACAGTAGGAGAGGAATTACTTTCAGTCCCCCCTACCTCAGCTTTCCTTTGGTAAAATTTGCATGCTACCCATTCTGCTGTTTTATATAAAATAGCTTATTTGTGTATTTTCTGACATGCTGTGAAGAGTGGGGTTAGGATAAAAACTAGCCCATGGTGATTTTCTTTCCTCACAAAGCACACATACCTGAGGTCATTTTTATTGTTTAAATATCAGCTATGCTGTTAAAGCTCCTAATTTTTATGCCACAGTTCTTATATATTCCTGAACATTCCAAAAGGCATGTGACATTATGATAGAAAATATGTCATGCAGAAAGTCCCATAAAGGTGTATTAAAAAATACCTTTGGTAGCTAACATTCTCCATGTTTGCTGTAATGAATAAGAAATGCCCTATATGGTAATATCAGATGTTAATGGCATTGATTAGCTGTCAGACAGTGGGAATTGATGGGGAAATGTCCGCTGTAAAATTAAATAGCATTAGAGAAAACTGTACCATGCATCTGGTGGGGGTTGTGGGGGATGGCTGGGCCTGGAAGACTTTGTCAGGGTATTACTGGGAGCTCCAGGTTTTTTTCCCCCACATGATTAAGGCAGGCCATCTGTTCTTTGTTAAATGTTTACAAAAACAGCTTTTCTCTAAAAGATTTAAGGAGATGTAGGTCTGGTAAACACTATAATATTTCTGAGCATCTTTTTCACCCTCTTTCAGATAGTACCAAAACATAATTCTGTTGCATATCAAACAAGATTAATACTTTTTTTGTATTTAATCTTTATTTTTTCCCTCCTCATGGAAGATTAAGTTTTTTACTGAGTTACTAATTTATGGCATCATTTATTTCTAAAAAAAAAGTATCTAAATGATTGTATGCTGAAATGTGTAGATAAATTTTCAGTCTTTTTGTGTTGTGTGTTATATGCTTTTTAAAATTTATAAATGTGTATAGGGAAGTCTCTTTTTAGAAACTTATATTCTGTTCCTAGAATTGATGCCATTCAGATTAAGGAAAAGGTGCACATACCTTAGAATTCATCATTCTAAGTTTTAATCATTATTTAGACTTTTCTTTTTCTTCAAAGAACAACTTTTTCTTTCATTTTCTGAAAAATAGATTTTTTTCAAATAAGTTTTGATTTCTGTGTCACTTGCAAGAAATGACATTTTTTACCTTTTTAATTATATTAGGAAAATAATAATTAACTGGATTTAAGTATAAGAAAGAAGTTTAAGTTAGATCCCATTAATGCTTAATTACAGTGGTTTGGACAGTGCCTCAGTTGTAGTTTCATGGTGGTTGTGTGGGGATCTAGAGGGGCTGGGGAAGCTCCAGCGTTTGGATAGCTGTGTAATTCCTCTATGGAAGCTGCTCCTGTAGGTTTATGTCCTGGTAATCCTCCTCAAACTTGGACCTTGCTTCCTTTCCAATATACCCTATACTTACCAGGTTCATTCCTTCTCTGCCATGACCAAGAACGGGCAATATAGGTTTTAAGAATTTTAAAAATACTACAATATGTTTTTTGTTGTTTTCATATTTATGGAACTGGGGATCAAACCTCGGGCCTCATGAATGCTAGACAAGTGTTCTACCACTGAGCTACATTCTCATCGCTCCACAAGACTTTGGAATGGACTTTGGAGGCTGTTTCACTAAACCCTTCACTTCATGGGTGAATGAAAATGATTTCCCCAGATAATACAGCTAATGTTGGGGCTCAGACTAGAATTTTAATATCTCAACTTGTAGTTTTTGGGGGTTTCTTTTCTGTCAGTGCAGCTGGAGAATTGAATATAGGTTCCCATATAGCCATGGTAGATTTTTATTTGGAATGGGATAACTACCTCCTTTTCAGGTAGTGTTTTGCTTTTTAAAATTATTTTTGGTCACAGTTTCGAAATTGAAACCCGTGGAGTTGTTTAGGAGGAGATGGACAGATATAGAAGAGCACTGGATTTAGGAAATCTAGATTCAAACCTCAGTTCCATACCTCGTCTGGCCTTGGGTGACCTTTTTTTCTTTTTTGGGTGGTAGTGGGGTTTGAACTCAGAGCTTCACACTTGCAAAGCACTTGCAGGCATTCTACCACTTGAACCACACATCCAGTCCATTTTTCTCTGGTAATTTAGGAAATGGAGTCTTGTGAACTATTTGCCTGTGCTGCCCTCAAATTGCAATTCTCCCAATCTCAGCCTTCCAAGTAGCTAGGATTATTGGTGTGAATGACTGGTACCCAACTTGGGTGACCTTATTGAACTGTTACTACCTTTCTGAAAGATGGGTATAAGCTTTCATATTTTTGTTGTGAGACTCAGGTGGACTAACCCTCCCTCCCCAATCTCAATGCATAGCATCAGATAGATGCTCAACAAGTATGACTTTGGAATATGATCTATATTACCTGCATTTACATGTTTGATTTTAACCTTCCTCCTTGCCCATACTAAGCCTTGGCTTATATTACATTAGTCTTGAGTCTCTGTGGGTGTGGAACTGGGTGCTCCTGACTGCCCTGCTTTTATAGGTTGTGTGGTGTATTGGCTTTAAAAGTAGTCTCAGTTCTATTGCTATCTATACCTCCTCAGGCAAATTACTTTATCTTAGAGTGTCATTGTCCTCAGCTATAAAATCAGTAGGATCATCATACTTAGTGCATTGGGCTGGTATGGAGATTCAGTGGTGTCATGCGTGACACATAGTAAGATTGTTCATCTTACATGTCAGGAGAAACATGAAAAAGGCAGAAAGTCAGTGATAGCTGAACATTTAATGTTTTTAGGTATTTTGCTGACATGTAAAGGTTGGACGGTAAACTGGCTCTACCCTAGTTTGGGTCATGTGCTGTGAGGGTGTTGCATATAGGTGTCACACTTACTCTGATCTCAGCTGGCCACTCAGCATCCCATCTCTTTTATTGTGTTTCTACTGGGTATGTCCCTAGCGAATGTCAAGAATCTCCTGTGAGGCATATCACATTAACTTATTGGCATTCTCTCTTCCTCAGTGAAATTTCAAATTGTAAAATTTAAAGAAATTAAGAAAAAAGATTATCCACATCTCATACCAGTGTAAGAAATGTAACCAATGCAAAATAATTGTTTGGATATGTGCTTTTAAGTTGACATTGAAATGTCTTTTAAACCAGAAATGACCTGTATGGTATAGAATTTATATGCTGCATTCACACTTTGACTTCAGACATAGTGGTACTAGAATCTTGCAATGTTGAATATACTTGTTCCTTTTAAAAATGGTGAAATTGTGTACCTGTAATTTGAGTTCTCATTTTTACATGGGGAAAAGACTTATTCTTTGTGGTTTTGCTACTGTCTTGTCATCCACTATTTCTTATGTAGCTTGTTTTTTTTTTAAAAAGGACAATGTCTTTAACTGAGTGACAGCTTATTCCTTCTTACACTGATTTTTTTTCTGTATTACTAAATTGGTATTTAAAATTTTTCTTATTTAAAAGCTTTTTTCTTAAAGAAACACATAGTTTTTTTGGATGAGAGAAAATGATGCATTCCACAATTGTATACTTGGTCAAATATGTGCTAACTTTGAGTATAGAATTAAGTTTCAGAAATATAAGCCACTAACTTTCAGTTCCTTTCTTCACAGTAAAAAATGATAAACTAATTTTAATTTCTATTTGTGTCTCTTAGCATTCTCCATCGGAGCCCTTTCTAGAGAAACCGGTGCCAGATATGACTCAGGTTAGTGGACCGAATGCTCAGCTAGTGAAGACTAGTGAAGATTACCTGCCATCGGTAGAACAGCAGCCACAGCAAAAGAAGAAGAAAAAGAAAAACAACCACATTCTTACAGAGGATCCTAGCAAGAGTTTTGGTAAAGATGACTTCCCTGGTGGGGTTGATAACCAAGAACTAAGTAGGAACTTACTGGATGGGTCCCAAGAAGAAAAAAAGAAAAAGAAAAGGCCGAAGGCAAAAAAAGATCCGAAGGAACCGAAAGAACCCAAGGAGAAAAAAGAGCCCAAGGAACCCAAGACCCCCAAAACCCCTAAGATTCCCAAAGAGCCAAAGGAAAAGAAAGCAAAAACTGCCACGCCAAAACCCAAATCCAGCAAAAAGTCAAGGTAGGCCGTGGGCAGAAACAACACCCACATTAACTGTGGTAGTGAGCTCTTAGGGCTGCTGCCCCCAAAACACTGATAGTGAAACACCAGGACGGGGAGGGGGCATGTTTATTTTTATCATCATTGTTGAGCATCTGTCCCTGATATTCAGACTAAAAAAATAAGGTTTTTATGCATTCTGAAATTTAGAACTCTGAGATACATATGGTTTTTTGTGGGACTTGGGTTTGAACTCAGGGCCTCACCCTTTCTAGCAGGCACTCTACCACTTGAGTGACTCCACCAGCCCTGTTTGTTTTTGCTGCTAACAGGGATTTGAATTAGGGCCATAACCTTGCTAGACAGATACTCTATCACTTGACCCATACGCCAGTTAGGACTCTTAACGAATCACTAATTTAGAGACTTTACTGGATAAAAGTTATTTAAAATTCAGCTTTTTATATTTTTATAAAAGTCTGTTATTTTAACAAATGGAACCAAGTTAACAGCATAGTTATTTTTAGGTATAGACCAGTAGCCTCATCTTCAGTGGCTATGCGGAACTGGATAGGAAGGATTGTAGAAGAAAGCAAGGTCACTGTATGTCACTAAACATTTCAGCCTGTTACCCAGATTTTTTTAAATTTATTTTTGCGGTACTGGAGTTTGAACTCAAGGCCTACACCTTGGGCCATTCCAGCAGCCCCTTTTCGGGATGGGTTTTTTTGAGATAGGGTCTCAGGAACTATTTGCCGGGACAGGCTTCGAACCATGATCTCTTGATTGCTGCCTCCTGAGTAGCTAGGATTACAGGCGTGAGCTACTGGCGCCCGGCTATTACCCAGATTTTGAAATAGAAGGATTAATTCTTTCTACTTGGTGTGGGCTAAGCCTTCTATGGGAAGGTTGAAGTCCTAGTGAGCAGCATGGAGAAATAAAATAGCACTCATGCATTAGATATGCTTTCAAGATCTGTATAAATCCTATGTTCTAGGAAAGAGCCCTCTTCCCTGATACCCCCCCTCCAATTCTCTGACCCCCCAGAAGGCATATTTATTCAGTTAGAAAATCTGAGAGGAGAAGACATTGAGGACTAATTTTTTTCATTTGTATTGAACATTTCTAACAACTGTTCTGAACCAGTTCCAAACATCTGAATCTGTTTTTCAGAATATGGCTCATGTTAGAAAATATAGATTCCAGATGGAAATGTGGTCAGACCTGCTTCATCTGCGTCTGTTTGCAAACTCCATTAGAAAACACGCTCCACCCTGTGCTTCCACGTGCATGGGCAAACACACGTGTGCACTCCCACATGATTCTGCAATAGCCTTCAACTTTTTTGAGACTGCTGGCCCATATCTTTTCACTTGTAAGCTGCAGTCTGTGATGTGAATGATGTTGCCACAAAGTGAAAGGGTAAACTTGAATTTTCAGCTTCATGGAGAAATATCTAAACAACACAAATACATCATTCTGTGGTGTGTTAACAGAAGTTATTTTGCCATGAATAGCCTTTGTAGTGCCCAAATAACTGAATTATTTTTAGTAGCTCAAAATTACGGATAACTTTATATTTTTTGAACTTTCTTGGATGCCTCAGTATCTGGTGTCTTAATTGAAAACCATTATTTTTTCCCCTTATGAATGTTCTTCTAAACTCGTAAATCTGTTTATTTACTTCAGGAAATGTTTTGTTAAGTGCTTACTGTTTGTAGGTACTGTTTTAAATGTTTGGAATATATTGAGGTGGTTTTAAAAGCATGCAGTTACCTAAATTTAAATATTAATGCTTTTAGTAGGAAGACGCATGTACTTATTTCTCCCAAAGAGAAAGAAATCAAAATCTGAAAGAGAATGTATTCTTTTTGTCTTAAAATATAGGAGTCTGTGTTCTAAAGAAGTGTTGTGGAGCTCAGAAAATACATTACTAATATTAATTTTAGTATCAAGATGTATCTGGCTTTAGTTTTTATCCCAATTTTTAAAAATTTCCACTTAATGGTAAAAACTGATAAAAGAAAACCACTATATCTGAGATACTGTCAAAAATTTTCAAGTATATGCTTTCGTTGTCTGAATGTTCATCAAACTACCCCTGTTTTAAAACTCAATTCGAGCATATCCTTACCTCCCTGTTGGAGCCCATATTGAAATGCTATATTTAACGATGAAACTTGTGAAAGCGCCCCCAACAACTGTAAGCAACTATTTGGCATGTGGGCACCTTCAGACCTGGGTATACCACGCCTCCTTGGTACAGACACAGACCCCATGCTTACCCAGCAGAGCAGCATTCTGGATGGGGTCCTGGGCATGCCCTCAGCTGTCATCCTGAAACTTGATTAGTTTGTGCAGAATGAGTGTTTGGCTTTGGCACTGCTGAATCTGAGGAAGACTGCACTGGAGCGACACACTTGTGGTCAGAAGAAGAGGTTGCATTTTTCTCCCAGGAAGAAAGTCTAATTGTTTCTTTTCTCCTGTAGCTTTTGACTAGTAGCATCAGTCACTGTGTTCTATCAGCAACAGTTTTATACCATGTGTTCTGAACGTAGTTTACTGGAACACTTCTGATGAGTCTGGAGATGTGCAAGTGAAAAGGGAGTTGATATAATGTGTGCCAGAGACTTAGGCAGGGGGCACTGAGAGTAGGAGTTATACCACTGACTGACTTACAGTGTAGTGTGGCAAGGATACTCCCCAGAGGCTTTCCTGTTGATGGTCTTTTGGGGTTGGCTGTACAAACATATGATAATTGAATTGGGATTTTAAGTAAATTAACAAACCAAACCATTATTTTGTCAAACCACATTGTTTCTGTTGGTCAGACGAATCAAGTATGTTGAGTGTGGTCTCCTTATTCTGTTAGATCTACAAGGAAATAGCATCCCTGAATCAAGGATAACTAGAATGCATACAACTACATGTAAATTCTGAACGGCATAGCAGAATAATTATGTAAATTGAATATGCAGTGATGAAGGTAATAGGGGGTTTGGGTTATGTTAGTGCTGGGGTTGAATTGCCATAGCAGTTTGCTTTTAAGCACTGGAATACAACAGTGGCAATTTTGTTTTACAAAATGTTATGTGATACCAGTTATTTCCATCCTTGAATAAGTTAACGTGATGAATTTGTTTATACAGAAAATAATTTTCCTACAGAGGGCTGAAAGAGAAGGCAATAAACAGAAGTGGAATGAAAAATTTAGCCTCATACTACTCACATCTTTCCTCTTTAGCCCTGTGTGCCGTGTCAGTGCTGTTCTTCTACAAACAAATATACCGTCCTTTGGGTGGTACAGTCCTTTGGGTGGTACAGACGTGAGGGCTGGTGGTCTGGCTGCCTGCATTTTGTTACTGACAGGGAGGGAGCTTGGGGCTGAGAGGAGAGTGGCTGTTGTGAGGGAGAGGGGAGAGTGGTTTTCCTCCCATGCCTTTGTAACAACCTTCTCTCCCACTAGTCGCCCACCTGGTTCTGTGAAGTAGCAGAAGCCTGAATTTTGTGGCCATTCTCAGAAAACCGGATCCTTTTACAACCAAAACAGAATCATGTCTTTCCTATTTAGGAGAGCCTAAAAAGAATCTGCCCAGAGCTGTGACATTGAACAATAGTGGAACATACAAAAATTGTTCAGCTCAGAAAAGGACATTTAATATCTTCAAATGATGACAAAAACAGGCCACATTCCTTTTTTCTAGAAGAACTATATTTTTTCTCTTTTGCTTTTTATTAAATATACTTTTTCTATTCCTGTTTTTAGTGCTGTCTCCAGGTGTCCTTATAGCTTTCACATATTGGCTGCTAATATTGAAAATAAAAGCTAAGACATTTGTGGGTTGGAGAGGATGTCACTTTGCATATGGAAGGATTCTCGGCTGAAATATGAGGATTTGCATTCTTCTTTTCAATGTGTTTTCTGTTGTGCATGCACAGGCCCTGTGACATGAGAGAGGATCTGGAGGAAATGCTTCCTTTGAATGACTCTTGAAGGATTTAGTGGTCCATTTAGCTATATAAAGATTCTTTGAATGTACAGAAAGAGGGGTACTTGGCCAACGATTGTGACTTGACTACTGAAGTCTAAGTTAAATGAAGCAGTGTGGCTTGCTGCAGATGCAGTTTCTAGGAACACATTTTGTTCCTTGCTCTATTCTCCATCCCAGTGTTAAATTTAGTAGAAGACTAAAATTCTCTTTTTCAATTGAGTGAAGATATCATTTTATTGTAAACTAGAAAATAGGCACACCACTTTTATTTTTATAAACCATAAAAAGTATCAAAAGCAAGTAAGGTATGCTTTTCGTAAGCTATACTATAATTATCACTATCAGTTAATGTTTATGAGAAGCTTTTTTTCTGAGGAACTTACTTTCAAGATACCATTTTTCAAATTATGATCTAACAAAGGAGGAGCATTTGCCCAAAAATATTTTATATTTAGGCAGCAAGCCCAACAGTGGTATATTTTGGTTAATCAATACATATTTTACGGTATGCTCTTGTATATGTAAAATTTCTGATAGAGATTAGAAATAAAGCAAACCATTAAGCCAGGCTTTATAATAGGTACAAAAAACTATATAATCAGATGTTCCTTCCCATCAGGTACATAGGCAATAAAGTAAACCCGTAGCTTTTCTTCCTTTTTTTCTCATTCTTTTACTCACACGCTGCTATTCAGTCTTCACCCAAGACATTGGGCAATTGGAGGAACAAATATCGTGTATTTTGGCCACATACCTTCAGAGGAGGAGGATGTATGTTTTTTTAACACATCATAAAATAGGCTTTCAAGTTCTTTCAGTATTAGCAAGGAATAACAAAGAAAACATGTCTGTCAGTGTCGTGGCTGTATTTATGAACCTGTCTTGCCTAGTCTCTGGTTCATTAAATTGAAACTCCGGGTTCAACCATTCTGCTGTCTCAAAGCTTGGCTTCTTCAACAGAGCAACCATAGGATGGCTTAAATTCCCGTTCCTTCTCTCCTTTAGCATAAGCAGCTCAGGGCCTGTCTG